TCCTAACAGTAACATCCTAACATCTTGTAGCCCATCCTGTGAGCTTAGCTTGCATCTCATAGAAGTCATCTTTACATGTCATGGGTTTCCATTACCCTGATCAGTGGTGATGGTGAGTGTGTTTCCCTCTACTGTACCTGTTGGTCACTTATGTCTTACTTTGATAAATGTCTTTTCAGGTGCTTTGTCCAGTTTTAAACTGGGTTATTTTGTTTTCTCCTTACTGAGCTCAGTTTCTTATAGGTTTTAGACATCAACCCCTTATTAAATGGTTTGCAAATATTTTGGCCTTTCTGTAGTTTGTCTCTACTTTTTTGATGGTTTCTTTGGTGCACAGAAGCTTTTTTAAATCTGATGTCATCTCATTTGCCTATTATTGATTTGGGCTCATATTCCAAAAAAATCATTGTCCTGAACAAAGTCATGGAGGCTTATTCCTATGTTTTCTTCTAGGAATTTAAAAATCTTAGGCCCTACATTTCTTAAATCTTTACCTATTTTGACTTGATTTTTGTAAATGGGGTGTTGAAGATTTAATTTTACTTTTCTGCATGTAGATATTCAGATTTCCCAACATCATCTACCGAAGAGGTTATCTTTCTCTCATTTTGTATTCTTGACCCTTGTCAAAAATCAGCTGACCATAACTGTGTAATTTCATTTGGGGGCTCCTGATTCTGTTCCATTGACATGTAGAGTCTGATTTTGTGCCAGTACCATGTTGGTTTACATTATTATAGCTTTTTAGTAGGTTTTGAAGTCAGAGAATGTGATACCACTAATTTTAGCTCAAGATCTCTTTGGCCATCCATTTTTTTTTTATGATTTCACATGAATTTAAGATTGCTGTTTCCATTTATTTGAAAAATGCCTTTAGAATTTTGTTGGGATTGCATTGATTTATAGGATACTTTAGATAGTACAGATATTTTAACAAGATTAATTTTCATAAGGGATATATTTCTATTTATGTCTTCAATTTCTTTCATCAGTCTGTTATAGATTTCAGTGTACAGACCCTTCACTTCTCTGGTTAAACACATCCCTTTTCTGGTGATATTATAAATGAGATTATTTTCTTGATTTAGTTATTGGATTCTCTTTTTCTTTAATTTTAGAGACAATGTTTCTGGAACATAAAATCTGAAAATATAGAAGAAAAAATATATTTATTATCATTGAAGATCCCAAATAATGAAGATAAAGATAGAGATATAGACCACTAGACCAAAGGTCAGAAGTGCAGGAGGGGAGTATTGGAATCTGTGGGACTGCAGGATTTAATTTAACCGCTGTATCTGTCTCTGTTGCAGACACACCTTGCATGCAGTCAAATTATCAGCAGAGGTTGCTGGGGCCCCTGCCTTCTCATTATGCAAAGGCACTAATGAACTTCAGAGCAAAATGCATTCCTTCCACTGCTGCCAGGCCAGGACAGATGCAAGCAGTGGACCAGGAAGCCAAGACCTGATGCAGATGCTCTGACTCTGGGCCACGCCCAGGTTAGTCCAAGTGTGGGGGACTTGGAGCCAATTTTCTTAACATACAATGGAGAATACAAATGTAAGTGCAAAAGTGAGTATTTATATAGAATGAGAATTTGTGACAAAGCATCACAAAATCTGGAAAAAATAACAGCTTTTCTTACTGTTTTACTCACTTCTGTATAATGTTAATGTTACGAAATCTGGAAAAATAACAGCTTTTCTTACTGTTTTACTCACTTCTGTATAATGTTAATTTTCCTCTGGTTTTGACAGCATAGTCTTTCATTACGTCTTCATGTGACAATTACTTTATATTTCCTCTATAAAATTAGAAAGCTAATTTGGCCCTTACAAAGGTTAATTGAAGATTTTGAGACATTTTATTTTGAAATAATTTTAGACTTCTAGAAAAGTAGCAAAAATAGAAGACCAGTTCACCAGCTTCCCCTGATGTTAACACCTTATGTAGCTGGAGAACAGACATCGAAAGGAAGAAATTACCATTGGTGCAGTGCAATGAACCAAACTACAGACTGCATTTAGGTTTCATTTTCGCTAACGTGCTTTCACAGTTGCAAGATTCCACCCACCTTGCATTTTGTCTGTGTCTCCTTAGGCTCCTCCGGTTTGACCAGCTTCTCAGTTTGCCCATGTCTTTCATGAACTTGACCACTCTGAAGGGCACTGATGGGAACCTTACAGAATTTTCCTCGAGGCCAGTTTTGTGGTGTTTACTCATGATTGTATTAGGCTTATAGGTTACCAGAAAGAATTCGTAGCAGTGAGATGGCCTTACTATGTCATGTCAGGGGACAGGATGTCACTGCATCCTATCGCAGATGATATTAACCTTGATTACTTGGCTAAGACAACACCTGCCAGCTTTGTCCCTAGGAAAGTTATTATTCCCTCCCACTTTTATGTTTAACAAATATTTGAGAGATATTTTGAGACTATGCAAAAATCCCTCTTAAAATTTTACTTATTAACTTCAATTTTCATTTAGTAGAGCTTGCATTAGCAATTATTATTTCTGTCATTTTCTATTTCTCTAATTCCTTCTATTAATAAGAGTTCTTATTAAGAACAATTATTATTTCTGTCATTTTCTATTTCTCTAATTCCTTCTATTAATAAGAGTTCTTATTAAGAACTCTTCTGTATGGAAAAGACATACTTGCTACATTTATGTTTTGGTAACTTTTCATATGATGCTCCACTCATAGACATTTATTTAATTCACTGAATTAGAATGCAATTCTATCTTAATTTATTTGTGGCTCAAATTCTACTCATGTTGATCCTTAAGCAGTATTGCAGATTAGCTTCTATGGTCTGGTTTCTTTCCTTGAGGAATGATACTTAGGAATCAAAACATGCATCTGGTTTCTTTCAATCAGCAAATGCACTTAAGACTCAGTACTGTTACTGTGTGAAGCCAGCTTCTCTCCAATGCTGAGTAACATTCCATTGTGTGGCTGAACCTCAATCCGTTCATGTACTCTCCTACTGAAAGACATCTGTGTCGTTTCCAGGTTTGGGTGACTATGAATAAGCCTACAACAAACCTTCAAACACAGCGTCTCATGTCTACTGCTGGTTCATTTCTCTAGGATAAACACCTGAGCAGGATGAGGACAATACAATCAGTATTCCCTAACTCTATAGGAAACTACCAAACCTTCTCCCAAAGTAACTTTCAGTTCCCACCAGCAGCGTGGACTTCTACGTGCTCTACCAGCATTTGATACTGGTTGCTTGTTTGTATTTCACCCATTCTGACAGCTGTAGTTTTAGTTCATATCTCCCTCATATTAATGATGTTGAGCAGCTTCTCGTAGGCTATATGCTATTTATCTTGTGTTTCATTATTGATAACATAGAAAACCTTTTTCTGCTTCACAGCTCAATGTTGATGATGTCTGTAAACTTTTAACAAGGTCGGGAATTTCAGAGAAGCCCGTTTATATCCCATATGAGCTAGAAGACTTCAGTGCCTTTCAAGTTTTCTCGGTGATAACTAATTAACCACTTTTTCACTGATGACTTCGTAGCCCTTTTACCATCAGTGTCCTTGTGATAGTGCTGTATAGTGAATTTTGTTATCTTTGTTGATGTATTTCACTTCAAATCAGCCAAAACCTTGACTCTTTTTCCATTATGCTCAGATGACTCTCTCTATGTCATTAATTAGGTTAGCGAACAATCTAAAAGCCGATACAGTATTTCTCTCCAAAACGTACCTTTTATTTCTTATGGAACTGCTCTTAATAGCATGCTAAATCTTTGCTACAATTCTAACACCAAAGAGTAGAGAATTTGTATTGATTTTATCATTTATCATACTCCTTTCATTTCACAATCTATTTGTCTTCATCTAAACTTTCTCCTCCTTTTTAATAAAGATTTAAATGAGAAGATGTTCCTCACATAGGACCGATCAGGAACTGCAGCCTCTCATTTTATTGCTGTGTTCCAGGTAGTCTTTCAAATTGGGGCCCAACTGGCACATTCCACCCAAGTTCCTACTTTTAGCAGAATCCACAGATGTCAGGGGCCACTGCAAACCTGACACAAAGACTAGGGAGGGGGGAAAGAGGCCAGACCAGAAAGTACATTTGATCTTCACTGTAAATCTTACAGAACGTGCGAATACACCGCTAGGACCTCCACCAGCGCCTTGGGTGGGATCCGAGTTGGAGGAATCCACAATGTAAACTTCGTTAGCTTCCAGGAAGCCCGTGGACCTGGGAGGACTGAGAGGATAGCACCCACCCGAAGCTTTTCTGCTGCCTGTGGTTTAGAGCAGAATGCAAAGTCTGTCTTCCGAGATGACCTGGGAAAAACTACAGCCAGGCATTTAAAACAGAACCCTCCGCACCCTTCCAAGGCACAGGAGGACCCTCCTGTGACATGCTGGCTTCTGGGGACTGCCCCTGCCCTGAGCCAGCCCCCTCCACTGTCCCTATGTGACCTGAGGCTCAGGTCTGGCTGCCCTAGAAATGCCCATCTACCCTTCCATCCTTTACCCCAGAATGGGAAGCAGAATGGGAACTTGAAAGAGGAGATAGTGCATCAAAAATGTAATCACCTACCCAGAGTGACGAGAAGTCACTTTTCACCACTCAGAAGGAAAGAGGAAATAGTAGTCAGGCCTCTGAAGGTGCTGTTTACTCTTCCAGGGACAAGGATGGTGCAAAGAGCTTCTGACAAGCCCATTGACAGTGTGCTGGGAGATTTAACTATTCATAATAGTAAAAAACAACAAATGCAGCTTTGAGTTAATCCAGCATCTTTCATCTCCATATCAAAGAGCATTGCCAAAGTTCCTGATAACGACACGTCTGTGGAACACACAGTGACAGCCATTGTCATCCCTGGGTGACAGATGAAAGAACGGAGATGCTTTGAAGCCCTTCCCCAGGGAACCAGTGGGGGCTTGTGCCCCACCCCTACCCCCACCCCCACCCCTAGGCCTGGATCTGTCCCTTGATGGGATTTGGGGTTAAGGAGAGTGAGCATGGGGAGCAATGTGGACCATCCATGGAACAGCACAGTGCTCTGTCCTCCAGAAGCTTGGCAGTAAAATGCGTCCACCAAGGTGGCTCTGCCTCCATGCACGGGATCAGCGGACACTTTTCAAAGGCTAGCTGCTCACGGACCTTCAGGATGAAGCCTGGGAGAATCCTGGCCCCCACAGAGCCAACCTTTGAGGCGTTCGCAGCAGAAGAATGAGAACAGGAAAGATGTCTGCACTCCCTCGAGCCTTACAGGCCAACCACAGTGAGCCACTTGCTGTTGTTCAAATGCACAGCCTGGGCCACGGAGGTTCCGTCCACACTGTGTCCTCCTCTTCCCACAAATACAGAGGCAGCAGCGCCTGAGCTGAAGCTATGCACATGCCGCCCCTCCTTCCCAACCTTTCTAATCTTTTCAGATTTCTGCCACAGGCTGTGTCACTTCATTCCATGGACCTGTTTACATGTTTTCTTTCCTACCAAACTGTTTGCTCCTAATCAAGAGCATGTTAATCATTTTTCTGTTACTAGGACAAAATAACCAACACACAAAATTTAAAGTAGGCAAGAGATGACTCACGGCTTCAGAGATTTCAGTCCATGGTTGGCCAATTCCACTGCTGAGGGCCTGAGTGAGGCAGAACAACAGAGCATGGTGGGAAAAAGCTGCCCACCTTATCACCCTGGTAACCCACTTCTCTGGATACACTTTCTTAGACTTTCACCAAAAACATTCAAACTCCCAACTGATGCAATCACTTCAGTCTCAGAGTTTATTTGAACCTCTCACATCAGATCCGCTGGGTCTCCGCTGCACCAAACTTGAGTCCTACCATCTCTGATGTGAGCCAGACCCAGGAATCTAACAAGCTCATTCTGGCTGGTCCCAGCTCTCATGTCTTCTTTGGCAGGAGCTCTTCCCCCATTTATCTGGGACCGAACATGGTGCAGGACACGAGCATGTTTCTTCATACAGTTCTCACCACCCTTTTGTGAGTAGGTCTTATTGTCATTTTTATCTTTTGTAGCTATAATAGCAACATGTACTGCCTGTTCACAGACAGGGAGCAATGTGTCACGTAGTCCTTGCAGCAACACAATGAAGCCACTGCTAGTATCAGTCACCATTTATGGATGCAAAGACGAGGCCAGGTCCAGTGACAACTCCAAGATCCTAGAGATACTAAGTCCTAGAGATACTAAGGAGATAAAGCAATTAACTTAGCCAAAAGCAAATCAGGGTCATCCTACCACTAGCCTTGCCAATCCTCTGTGGTATTTGTCACCAGTGCCTCCCTGCTGGCAATGCCCCATCCTCAGCCTTCCAGGACTGTTGGGAGCCGCGTCTGTGATAGCTCGCCTTGCGCGGCGGACGTGCGGCCTGTGGTAAAGAGCAAAGCCTGAGGTAGATTACCCCTCCCATCGAATATGTTAGTTTCCTGCTTACCGCGTAAACAACCCGCTCAACAATATAGTCTGCCTGGCAACTGATGATGTTAGCCAATCAGCTTGCCTTGCTTACTTTAACATGATTGGACACTGTACCCGTATATATACCAGTGCCACCCCTGGGCGGAAGAGGAAGCCAGATAGAAGCCCGGAAGTAGAAGCCCAAAAGGAGCCGCGGAGAGCGGACCGGTAGAGGCTTTGGGGCAGACTGAAGCACAAAAGGAGCCGCGGGGAGCGGACCAGAGGAGGCTTCAGCTGGGAGAACCCAGGGCAGGCTGTACGGAGAAGGAAAATAAAAAGAAAAGGTTGTCCACTACCAGACTTTGTCGTGTGTCCTTCCTGCCGGCCGGGAGCGGACATCGACATTTGGTGGCCCGTACGGGGACTGATCACCCCCGAGACGTGGAAGTGGACAACGCTCCAGTACAGAGCTGCGAGACAGGTGAGTTGGGGATAAGCCTGGGCTCTGGGTGGCGCGCACCTACAGGGCTTTTAGACTCCCCTCAGGCTCACGCGTAAGTGGCGGATTCCTTGGGCCTCACGCGGTGAGTAACATATTAAAAGATGGGAAACATGTTAGGTAGCAACACTAAGAGCGAGGGTGGTTGTGGAGAAAGCTCTCAAGAGCTTACAAAAGTACGCAGGGTATCTGAGCAGGCCCAGTCAGGGAGCTCCCGAGAGGGGCCCGTCAAGGGGAACAAGGATGCTAAGGAGGAGGACGGGGCTCTAGCCTCGGAGTCGTCTGACTCCGAGGACGAGGGAAAGTTGAATGGCAAGGAGGCCAAAGAGACCAGCTGTCAGGAGCCCAAGTCGCTCGATAAGGAGTCGCAGGGTTCTTTTCCAGCGTTGCCCCGCGAATTGCGCTCTGCTCAACCTGGTCTGCGGAGGAGTAGAGAGCTCCTGAGCGCTCCCCGGCGCGAGAGGGAGGCGAAGCCTTCCGCCCCACCTTGGGGGCCGTTTCCGGAGGCGATTCCTCGCCACGAGGCGGCCGCCTGGGAGCTCTCTCCCCTTTCGCCAGAACAGGAAGTGATGCACGGGCCCCCATTTTCCGCCCAATCACGGCCGCTGTCTTATGCTCCGCCGCCGGCGGGTCGGTATTTTTACAGGCGGCTTTGGCAGGGGGGACGCTTGTCTCATGAGGTACATCCACCTGGGATAGATAGTGGCCCCTACGGGATATTTCCTGTACAAGTAGCTATGGGCCAGGGACGCAATGTATGGGAGCCTTTTGAGATAAAGCAGATTAGAGAACTTAAAAATGCAGTTACAACCTTTGGGCCGACTGCGCCTTACACCATTGCCATGCTGGAGAATCTGTCTTCTGGGCCCCTCGCCCCCGCGGACTGGATTCAGCTGACAAAGGCGTGTCTGCCCTCGGGCAGTTACCTGGATTGGCGAGCCTGGTACGCAGAGTTCTCTGCAGAGCAGGCTGAGAGAAACGCCGGTCGAGGAAATGGGAGCTGGGGATTTAGCTTAGCGGCATAAGCGCCTGCCTTGTAAGCAGGCAATCGCCAGTTCGATCCCTGGTACCAATAAAAAAAAAAAAAAAAAAAAAAAAAAAAAAAAAAAAAAAACAAAAAAGATAAAAATAAAAAATAAAAAATAAAAAACAAAAAGGGGGAGTAAGCCAAGGCCTGCCTCCAAAGGCGCGGTTATCTATGGCATGACAATGGATGGGCCCGGATCCAGTGGTCAGCTGGAACCGAGGCGCGGTTTGTGTTTTCCCACAGGAACCGGGACGAGAACCACTGTGGATACCGGAGAGACTGACACGGGCAACAAAGCCCTCGACTGAAGATCAGACCTGCCCTACTGGAGATCCATCACAGACCAACCAATAAGATGAATAGAAATAGCGGTAGCCCGAAATGGACAAGAAGATCCTCAGGCATATGCATGGCTTGCTCAATTGGCCCACGACCGAGTCTAGATATGGCGGGCATCCCTCATTCTCCTCCATAAGGTGACAATACACAGCAGGGTAGGTGAGTCAATGACGGGTAAGAGCGTGCCTCCCCAGCACGACTCGACCTAAGCCAGGCCCTACCCCATCCTGCACGTAAGCCGCTGGACTGTTAGATGCTGCCCAGGTCTAAATTTCTCTCCGAGGGGATTTCTTTACGGAGAGAAAATGAGTGCAAGCTTGTGTGCATCCAGGTTCCGTCCAGTTTGTGCCTGGCCCTAGAAAAAGGACGAGGGCCTCAGGGCCTTGGCAGACCATGGCATGGCCAACCAGGGTCTAAGCCAAGGACCTACGGTGGACCTACACATAGGGCATAAGCCTCTGCACCCAGTCCAGGAAGGGCTACGATGCGCACATTCATAAAAAATAAAATAGGGGGAGATGTTGGGAGCCGCGTCTGTGATAGCTCGCCTTGCGCGGCGGACGTGCGGCCTGTGGTAAAGAGCAAAGCCTGAGGTAGATTACCCCTCCCATCGAATATGTTAGTTTCCTGCTTACCGCGTAAACAACCCGCTCAACAATATAGTCTGCCTGGCAACTGATGATGTTAGCCAATCAGCTTGCCTTGCTTACTTTAACATGATTGGACACTGTACCCGTATATATACCGGTGCCACCCCTGGGCGGAAGAAGAAGCCAGATAGAAGCCCGGAAGTAGAAGCCCAAAAGGAGCCGCGGAGAGCGGACCGGTAGAGGCTTTGGGGCAGACTGAAGCACAAAAGGAGCCGCGGGGAGCGGACCAGAGGAGGCTTCAGCTGGGAGAACCCAGGGCAGGCTGTACGGAGAAGGAAAATAAAAAGAAAAGGTTGTCCACTACCAGACTTTGTCGTGTGTCCTTCCTGCCGGCCGGGAGCGGACATCGACACAGGACACTGTCCTGGTGTGAACTCCCTCTCTCCTCTGCATATTCCTCTCGTGAGCCCCCTTCATTCTGTCCACGAACCCTAGGTCCCCTGGGACTTGACCATCTTTTCTCACACACCATCCACTCTAGGCAACGAAGCCTACATCTCCACACTCGGTGAGGCCCAACAGCTGATGACCACCCAGCCTTCATCTTCTTGCCTTCACCCACATCTCTCTCTCAAACCCCAACCCTCTTAGACACACCACCAACTCCTCAGTGTCAGCCTGCTCAGACCTGAATTTATCCTCACATCCCCATATTCTGCAACATTCCTGACAACCCTGTTCACCCCAGTCCCCAAACCAGAAGCCAGACTCTGCTCCACACAGGCCTGCTGTGCAATCCTTTAACCCAGTAAGGAATGGGGAGCTCTTCTCTCCCCCCAAGGTCTCGAACTGAAGCTGACCAACCCACCTTCAGGCTCCCTACTGAATAAAATCTCCACTACCTCATGCAGGCACCCAGAGTCCACGCTGGAACCCTCACCCTCCTCCTCCCCTTGTTGCACTCATGTCCTGACCTCTCAGCTAAACAGGTAGCTGCTCGGGTTCCTGTGCCCCCACCCCTGAGCTCCCTGCTGTCACTCTCAACACCTCCTGCTCTGGGGGGCCACCTGCATTCTCTCAGACTCTGAGCAAGGGCAGATGCTTACCCTCTGCCTTGGCTCCCCTGGGACTGCCTGGGGCTCGGGTTGGTGTCTTACCACCATTTCACTCCAACAGCCCACTCCACACACCAGGAACTCTCCAGGTATGGTTCCTCTTCCCTTTGCACCCCAAGAGGCACTTCCAGCCTTCTTCAGACGTTTAGATAAATAACTGGCAACTAATATGAAAAAGCAACATTGCTCCCCAAGATAGTGTGTAATGTTCAGTTCTGCTTTTTCAAGGAAGTGAGCAGAAGCCTGTGTGCGCATAAGAGATGTTTTGACAGAGGTGAGAATACGTGAAGTAGGCAAGGAGGCTTATGTGAAAGAACCAAGAGAGATGGATCTCAGCGGAGGCCCTCATAGAAGCCAACACGCCACAACTTGCGTGTGGTGGGGAATCTGCCTCTGTTGTGACTGAAAGTGGCACAGAATGAGGTTGGTGATGGGTCCCTAAGTCCCTAGTCTGTGTCCTTACCTGGCAACACCCACACTCACCATCCTATGCACACACACATTCTCACACTTAGAGAAATCACATCTCACGCATACACACACATCCCACAATGAGCCACGCAAACTTAGGACAAATCAGCCCTGACAAGTTGTTGAACTGCATCTCCTGCTAACCCTCAGCTTGCTCCTAACCAGTGAAATCCCAGTGTTCAAATATGACTGGTGAAAATGCTTAAAAATAAAAGCTACAGGAGATGCTGGAGTTTGGGTCTTGAATGTTCCCCAAAGCCTGTATATTAAATGCATGGTCACCAGCCCCCCAGTGCTTTTGGGAGTCAGTGGAACCTTCAGAAGGTGGAGCATGGTGGACAGAAGTTAGATCACAGGGCAGTGAGTCCTGGAAGTGGATCTTGAGACCACAGTCCCCCTTCTCTCACTGCTTCCCGGCTGCCGTAGGTAAACACACCACCTCTGCCACAGCTCCCGCCACTAAGAACTGTGCTGCCACAGGCCCAAGGCAACAGAGCCACAGGATGTGGGCTAACTCCCTGAAACCGTGAGCCACAATGGGCCTCTCCCCCTTTTCAGGTGATTATCGTAGGTATTTTATCACAGTAACAGAAAGCCGACTGCCTTAAATGGCTAATACATATAAAAGTTCAGCCTCCACAGGAATCAAGAAATTCGCATCAGACAGAATACTATTCAGCTGTGATATATTTCAGCTGTGTAACTGCAGTGTTATGCCACCTGGAGAGGCCACTGCCACCTCCCACATGTGCCGGGTGGAAATGTTATGTGAGTCCCCACCCCCCCAAGGCAAAGAAAGCCCCCTTCAAGTTAACTCACCTGTGCCTCTTGTCACTGCTGGCAGAGAATGAATGAACTTAAGGCAGGTCTTGGAGGACGATGGTGGGAGGAATGCTGGGCAGCAGGCTGTGCACACACATGTGCACACGCACACACACACCCCTCACCGTAGGAACGTGAAAGGAACACAGGGCAGTAGGGCCCAGCAAAGCCCCGCCTTCATAGATTCACAGTTTAGAAGCAAAGTCAAGACTCACGCCAGTCAGTAGAAAGCAGGCTGACAAAATTAGATGCTGTCAGAGAAGAAAAAGCGCTGAGTGCTTTCAGAAAAGGGACGATCATTGCAAAATAGGCCAGCAGTGTAGGTGGCTATGACTTAGGCCCAGGTATGGTGAGAAAAGTATTCCAGGGGCAAAAGAAAGATTAAGCCAAAGCTAATGTGTTAGGGCTCCTGTCTGGAGGCCTCTACCCAAAGTCCTGTGCGGTCACAACTGGGGCTGGATCACACATAGTGTGTGGTGCTGGGATTGGGGCAGGGGATGAATACTAAATCAGGCTGCTGATTTGTTGGGTACCACCTTAATCCCAGTAGCCTAGATAGAATATAATAGGAGCAGAAAGAAGCTGCTATTGTCGCTTGCTCATTTTGCTGTCTTCTGCCCACCATGGACTGCTTCTCCCCTGCTGTGCCACCCTGCCTTGGAGCCAGCCAATTATGGACTGAAATCTCTACAGACTGTAGGCAGAAATAAACCTTTCCTCCCCTCACTTGTGGGTGTTGGGTAGGCTCTCATAACCTGCTCATTTAACGTCACTTAATCTTCCTGACACCTGCATACAAGTCCCCTTCAGCCAGTGTAACAGACTCTTATGCTCCAAGAACAAGACAAAGTTGCCCAAGATGACAAAGCCAGTCAGTGCTGGGACTTCAGATACAAGCTGATGCCCATCTGCCCAACTGAGCCCAAGCCTCCTTCCTTTCTATACCTCAATTCCAGATCTTCTGGCCTGACAGTTAAAGCCCCCATATCTCCAGGTTCAACACAATCTCTATCAAAATCCCAGCAGGCTATTTCGCTGACGCTGATGAGTTGGTACTGAAATATATACAACAATCCAAAGGATGAAAAGAACCGAAAGGTGAAGGATTCGCTACACAACTTCAAAAGTTGCTACAAAACTACAGGAGTCAAAACCATGCTGAATAAAGAGTGACAGAAAGACAAACATACAGACCGAGGGAACAACATCAAAAGTCTGGAAGTAAACCCACAGATTAAAGGAAAATGAGTTTTGATAAAGATTCCAAGTCAATCCAAGGAAAGAGCAGTCTTCAATAAATGGAGCCGGGACAGCAGGCTATCTGCATGCACGGGAACGAGTTTGGAATTTTATCTTACACCATGAATAAAAATTAACTCAAAACACATCAAAGACCTAAATCCAAGCTGAAACTATAAAACTCTTCCAAGAAAGCCTATACATAAATCACAGTGATTTGGGATTCACCAAATGTTTTTTAGTACCTAAAAACAAAGTGGATAAATTGGACTTTGCTAAAATTAGAAATTTTGTGTTTCCAAGGACACTAACAAAAAATGAAAAGACAACCTTCACATAAGGAAGTAGTCTTCAGCATATAGAAAGAATTCAGATAACTCTTTAAAAAGAGGGCAGAGCTTTTAAAGTGGGCAGAAAATTGATAACATTTATGATCATCTATAAGCATATGAAATAGTACTGCATATTCAAACCCCTATGAGATACTATCTGACACCCCTTAGAAGGATGCCTAATAACAAATATTGATGAGGGGACCCAGAAACCTCACGCATTGCTCAAGTGGAAATGTAAAGGGGTGGAGAGCCTTTGGAGACAGAGTGAGTCATCCTCACAGAGTCAAATGCAGTTACCAGGCAACCCAGAAATGCCATGCCTAGGTGTGTACTCAGCGTAATTGAACATACACATATTCCTGTAAAAATTTGTGGATGAACATTTGCAGAAGCAGTGTTTGTAATAACAAGAATATGGAAACCATAGAGATGTCCATCAGCTAGCAACAGATAAACCAAGTGTGGTACGTCCATCCGATGGAACATTATTCTCCGTCTGCAGTGATTTCCTCAAAGATTCCACTCTCTGAGTTCTCTCTTTGTTCCTGCGATTGCCTCCTGCTTTAGAATCAGGCTTCGTGAGTGCAAATTCAGTGTGTACCTCTTCTTTAGGAAAAAGGGGTACAGGAAGGAAGGCCAATTTGGGGAGAGTTATTGTGGGTGTTAGGCACCATCTTGTCCTCCAGCACCCAACCTTTCTCCTAGGTGAAGCCCTTTCCTAGGTGAGCATCTGCAGTCTCAACCTCAGAGTGGCCAAAAAGCTGATGGAGTTTACCACCCCAACCCACTCGTTCTTCCTTGTTTCCTGTCCCCCAGCCTAACCCCTCCTGGGTGACACGGCCAAGGATGACAGTAGTCTATTCTCCCAGCTTGGCCCTCCATTGGCACTGTCCTCTTAAGGCAAGTGCTACTCATGAGTACAGACCACTTAGGGTGACATAGGAAGAACCATAGCCTAGCTAGGTAACCCTGTGGCGATCAGACCCACCCACCCCTGAGGTTCCCAGAAAGGGGCCAGGTCAGTCAGACACAGGTCCCTCCAAGCCCAGGTCCAGTGTGCTGCGATCACCACAAGCATTTGGATCTCTCTCTTTCTCTCTCTCTCTCTCTGGAGCTAGGCTTGCTTCTCAGATCACAGGACTTGGGAAATAGAACCATCTCCTTGTTATCAATGTGAAAACTCAGCTGAGCTATTTGTGATCTAAATCAAAATAGAACTGTGTCTGGCAAACTCATTTTTCTCCGGCACAGCAACTCCCGAGATACATTGTCTACTGATGGCGGGGGGGGGGGGGGGGGGGGGAAGCGAGACAATGGCAACTGCCAGGAGCCATTGATCACTTGTTTTATGTACAGAATGAATCCTTAATCACTGTCGCTT